TTTTCTTGCACCCGGCCTCTAGTTATTAATGATGAACTACAATGTTCACTAATGACTGGTTACTATAATCGCGTTGCCTTCATTTCCCTTATGTGCCTTACGCGCAGGCACACCATTTCTCTCCACTAATACTAGCAGGGAATATTTTAGCAGCCGATGGCCATGTCATTAGTCTTGGACTGACTTGTTTGGTGTGAGCAACAGGAAATATTTCACTTTCAGAGAACAAGAAAAAATAGGTTTATGTGCATTACGCTTATTTGTGCAGTTATTCAGTATCTGCTAAGTTAATGTTCAAGAAAAAAATATTAATTTTCATTAAAATGTCCTATTATTTTATGTTCACAATTACTCATTTATTTCAGCCCTTTGTATTCAGCATGTCTCTACCGAAGTAAACCTATGTTTGTAGGAAAATTGAAGCTTTTGTTTTTTTGTGGCCCACAGAAACTTAGACCTTGTTTATTTGGCCTGTGTTAGCCTTTGAGTTGGACATACTTGGTCTAGCCATTATACTGTACACCTGAAACCAATAATATTAAATGTAAAATGTAATTGAAAAAAAATTAGATTAGAAACATGTAAAAAAGGGGAAAAAAGAAAAAGAAAAAAAAAAAAAGAACCTACATAGGCTCCTGCCCCATCAGAGGTGTGTGGCCCAGGTCCTGCCTCAATCCTTGCTATTTCTTCCAGAACAGAAAGGAGGGAGCGAAGGCTCCCGGGGCGACTGGGGCTGGGCCTGCAGGGCCAGGCAGGACACCGGGCTTTCTCCTCAGAGCAGAGCCCGAGGGCCACAGCCCATAACCAGGCCGGGAGGAGGAAGTGGGCAGTGCCAGTCCAGGCAGGGAGTGGAGGGGCTCTGACTCCCTTGGCAGCAAGTTGCTTCAATCCAGAGGCCAGTGTGGGGGCTGTGCCCTAGCCTGGCAGGCAGAAATCTCCCCAGCATCCCTGGGTGGGCAGCAGCCAGAGGCAAAGCTGCTCCTTCCCCCTTGCCACCATCCCCTGGGGAGGAGGGGTCAGCTGGCAGAGGAGGGGTCAGCTGGCAACACAGCCCCTCCCTCCAGACCCTGGGCCTTGCTGGGTCCTTCTGGCCATCTCCCCTGGTGCAGACCCACGTGGGGGCTGGGGTGTGCTCCCCGCAGGCTGTGTCCACAGTGTCTCCCGGACAGCACGCCATCACAGCGCAGGCCTCGAGTCCCAAGCCCAGGATGGAGTTTGGCTGTTGTTGGCCCTCCGTTGCCCCTTTTGATGTGGGTCCAGGCAGTGACCCCTGCTCAGGGTTTCCCCTTCAAGAGAAAAAGCGAAGGGGCTTGGGAGGGACCCATTGTCCCAAGAAGTAGGGCACGGAGCGGGAATTTGGAGGCAGCTGTGATCGTTCAGCAAGGAGGAAAGGAGGGCAGCTTCCTTTTTTCTTTTTTAACACTAGTTTTTTTCTTTCCATAAAACACACACACACACACACACACACACACACACAAAACGTGAACACAGAGGTAAAGAGAGAAAAAGTGAAAAGGTCCTTTTATTCCCAGGTGTGACCATGTCACTGCTTTCCCAGCAGTGACCTACATTAGCAGTTGGCTGTGTATCATATATCACCCTGACTTTTTCTGGGCATTTACACACACGGGTACACACACATATACATGCACATGCACACACACACACACACACACACACACACAATGTGTGTGATGCCAGGATCTTGCTTTTCTGTGCTCTTACATAAGTGGGATTGTGCTGCCCGTACTGCTCCGCAGTGTCTTCTCTGGAATTGTGCATCCCGGACATTTTTTCCTGCCAACATACAGGGGCATCCCTGATAGCTCTTGCTTTTTTAAACTTCTGCCTAATATTGCCCGTGTGGGTGTAACAGGGTCCTTGTCACACACCAAGCATAGGCCAAAAGGTTTCTGAGTGTGGGCAGACTCCCTGACTGCGCAGTTCCAACGGGACGCCATCCACATGCAGACGGTGGCACTGCCTTCTCCTCAGGGACAGAGAAGGCATCTCCCATTTTTCTTCTCTGTCCTTGCAAACCAAGGCCTCCTGTGCACACACGTGAGTCACTCTCTAGGCGTTGATGCCTTGAGCAGGTGGGCAGATGCCACGGTGTGGGAGGGCGGTTTGGGGCATCCTACCCCCTCTCGGCCGCACCAGTCCCCCCAGCCCACATCCATCAAGTGGCAGTTGGCCGGGCTGGCTGCTTCCAGGAAATCAATTGCAAAGACTGGCGATCGTCGGTGCTTGCACCCTGGAGGCCATCCAGGGAGTAGATTAAATCGTAGGAGAAAATCGTACGAGGCCCGAGACCACGCACAACGCAGACTCCTGGGCAGCCTCTCTGGAGAAGTGAAAAGAACAAAGGCAGACACGCTCTCACTCCCCATCGCCCACCGCGGCCCACCTGCCCAAGCACCGCCCTCCGCCCTGGGAGAAGCCGCTCCTGGTTAGCAGGCCTGGTGGGGGAGGAGGAAACCTGGTCCAGGGCTACAGGGGGTGCAGGCAGGGAGGCCGGAGGGGGCACCTGCTTCTCCGGAGGGCAGACCCAGCTGACCATCAGCTCCTCAGCTGCTCAAGGCCAGGGAGCCCCTTTCTCCACCACCTACCCCCTTCTGCCGCCTGCAGCCAGTTAGCAACCCTCCGCTGATCCCTCTCCATCTACCCCCCAGGCCATGGTCCCTCCAGCTGAGCACAATCCTCTCTCCCCCCTACCCCAGCGCACACAGGTGCAGGCACCTCTTAGTTTTGTTTGTTTGTTTGTTTTTTAATATACTTTTTTATTGATTTTTTACGGAGAGGAAGAGAGTTAGAAACATCGATGAGAGAGAATCATCGATCAGCTGCCTTCTGCCACTAGGGATGTGCCCACAACCAAGGTACATGCCCTTGACCGGAATCGAACCTGGGACCCTTCAGTTCGCAGGCCGACGCTCTATCCACTGAGCCAAACCGGTTTCGGCCTCTTAGTTCTTATTCAGCTCGAGACACTTGCCCCGCACCCCGGAGGAGGCGGGTCTCTTCAGGGCGGTGTGTATGTTGGGGGGTAAGGGGGATGGAGGGCTCGGTGTGGACAAATTCATGCCCCTTAACCACAAGGCTGACTGGAGCCTCGGCCTGGATTCAAGGGCCGCAAGTTTTGAAGCCTCACCCTCTAACCATCCCCAGCCTTCACTTCTTCCTCTCTGGACCCCACCCACTGCTGGCCTCGCCCAGAAAACCCAGCCATGGCTCCGAACACGGGGAAACACGCCTGCATTTTCTACATGCAGACGTCTCCCGCTCTGCAGGCCGGCCTACTTGATCCTGCTGAAGGTAACTCCAGCTGCCAGGGATGGGGCACCACTTCCCACACCCTCTGTGAGGTAGGTATGACGCTGTGAGGTGCAGGTGGGGAAGGGGGGCTCGGAGCCATCCCGTGGCTGGATTCAGGTCACACAACTGTAAGTGCCAAGGGAGGACTGAAACCCAGGTCCCAGCCAGACGCCAGAGTTTATGGGCTTCACCACAGTGCCACCCTGGCTCCCACTGGCTTCCCTTCATTCCCTCTTCGGGGTGGTCCCGAAAACCAGGCCGAAGAGGCCAGTTTCCCGCGCCCCCCCCCCCGAGGGGGGTTCCTCATCGGGCCCCTGGGCCGTGTGGTGTGGCTCCCTGGCAGAGGAAAGACTCTCACATGTCCCTCTCGTTCTTCTCCGGGTTCTCCAACTCTTACAGGTCCAGCCCCGCTCAGGCCAGCAGGACCTGACAGGCCACCCTGCCTGCCTGCGGGGACTCTTGTAAGTCACTCCCTCTGCTCGCAGGAGCCCAGGGCAGCCTGAGGCCCAGGGACCCGCTTCCCGGCAGCCCCTCCCTGCCTGGGCCCAGGGGTGGGCTGGTTTCTCTTCCCCAGGCTGCCAGGCCTGCAGGCTGGCAGGTGGGAGAGGGAGGCAGACGCATTCCAGAGGGGCTTGCCGCCCTCCTGTGGCCTGGCCCCGTGCTGCCACCACTCCACCTCCTGCTCTCGCTGCCATGACCGGGCTCCAGCTCGGGGAGAGAGGGCGGGGAAGAGGAATGTGGAAGTGGGAAGGGGAGAGAAAAGGAGTACAGAAAGAGGGGTGGCCCGGCCGGCATAGCTCAGTGGTTGAGCATCTCACCTATGAACCAGGAGGTCAGGGTTCGATTCCCGGCCAAGGCTCATGCCGGAGCTACAAGCCCAATCCCCGGTGTGGGGAGTGAAGGAGGCAGCAGGTCACTGATTCTCTCTCATCATTGATGTTTCTATCTCTCCCTCTCCTTTCTCTCTGAAATTAGTAAAAAAAATATATGTTTAAAAAAAGAAAGAAAGAAGGGTGGGTATCGGGGAAGGACGGAGCCTTCTGCAGTATCTGGAGAATGGCACAATAACATAACATAATAACATAATAACAATAACATAACTAATAATAATAATAATAATAAAAGGCAGCTGCCATGTAGAACTTTTTACCACTTCCACGTTTTCCCCTTTAATCCTTACATTTACAGCAATGTGATGAGGAGCTATTTATGATAATTCAGAGCTTGGTCATTTGTTCAAATGTCCCAACTGGTGAATGACAGAGCCAATCTCGCCACCTCCCTGCTCCGGTCTCCCAGCTGCTCCCCGACTCAGGGGCGCAAAGATGGTGAGCCTCTGGGCACTGTGCCAGGGTGCGCCCCCCGCCCCCGGCCCCCCGAGTGGCTTTGTCCTCTGTTCTTCACCCCCGTTTCCCTGTACCCTGCTGGGGCCCACGTGGTTAGGACCCCAGGGGTCTGTGGGGACCGTGGGGCCTTATTTGTGCCTCGGGTCTGCCACCTCCCTGCTGCCCAAGGACTGGGCCCAGGTCACTTCTGCTGCTGAGGAGACAGAGGCAGGCAACCGGGAAATTCCCAACCACCTGCCAGCATGGCAGAGCCAATAACAGCGACCGAGGGGAGTACACTGATCCATGGGCCTGAAAAACTGTTTAAAACCAAGCGCACTGCTTGGTTAAAAAGAAAAGAAAAAGGAAAGAAAGCAGGTTTTCAAGCTGTGGACACAAATAAAAGATTTTATTAATGAAACAAAATTATTTTCTATGTATCTAAGTATAGAAAAAAGGATATTTGCCAAGAGTGAACCGATGAGTTTTGTTTATTTTCTCTTGGCTGTGTTTTCTATTTATTTTCAATGAACACTGATTATTCATATGATTTAAAAAATAAAAATAAACCAATCCCAGACTGATTGTACCTGTCTCTGCCCTTGTCTCTGCCCTAGCAACTCGTCCCCCCGTACCCCCCCCCCAAAAAATTGCAATTTTGTATTCCCGGACCTTCCCTCTTGTGGTGGGTGGGGGCCCTCGCTTGCCTGACAAGAGGTGAAGGCTGCACCCTTGGCCTGTCCTCGCCCACCTGCCTCTGTCAAATGCACCGGGTGGAAGGCCCTGGCTGCCCTTTCGGGAGAGGACGTGGCCGGCTTCCTAGGCATCTCTGCTCCTGCAGGCTGAGGCTGACTGCCCAAGCCAAGGCCTCCTGGCCCCTGGACCGCAGCCCAGGGCAATGGCTCCACGGCTGAGAGGTAGCTGCTGCAAAAGGAAGATCGAGGGGAAAGAAATCAGAAAAGCGCCTCATCATCAATCAGAAAAGGAAAAGCAAGGCCTCAGGACAGGGCTAGGCTGGCCCCTTCCAGAAGGTTCCATGGAAACGAGGAAGGAAGTGGGAACGGAACTTCCTGAGCCTCTACGATGTCCAAACAGTGGACTCTCTTTCAGACACACCCCGCCTCCCAGAACACCCTTCCTTTGCACGAGCGGACGGGGCAGTTGAGGTCAGGAGGCACCTTGCCCTCAGCTTCTTGCATTTCTGGCGCTTCATCTAACATCAGAGCAGGCCCTTTAAATGGACTCTGGGTGGAGAAATCCGTAGGGGCTGGCAGCGTCTTCTCCTCCCCCGCGTTAGGCGAGGGCCAGGCTCCCCAAGAGCCATAGAGACCCAGCATTCTCCGCAGGGGGCTGGCTTTCAGAGCACCTCCCAAGTTAAGGAGGAAGGTCGCTCTCCCCCCATTGAAACAGCAGTCATCAGAAAGGCAGCCCAGAGAGCTGGCCTGCAGCCAGCAGGACCAGGGTTCAAGGGAGTCGCCCTGAGTCCTCATCTGCAAATCACATCCCCTGAACTGGCCATCCCTAGAGACCCGGAAACCGGGTTCCTCTCCCCAGCAAACCTCTTAGCACACATGCAGGACAGATGTGGGGTTGGGGCACCTCACTGGGAGGCAGGAGACCCTGGTATTCTCCCAGCTCTGCGCCTAAACTGGGACACTGAGGAGAGCCACTCCTCACCACCACACCCTCTTTCTGCTTACACAGTGTTGTGGCGTCATGAAAAGTTTCAAAGGCTGATGTTGAAGAAAGCTCAGCCCTTGCTGAGTGGGAGTTTCCTTCCTGAGTGGGAGTCTGGTAATGAGTTCCATGCCTTGAGGATCTCGGTTTGGCGGCCTGTAGTTGAAGTGTGATTAATAGCGACATCTCGTGGCCACAATGGGTAACTGCACCCTTCTGGATGGAAGCCACGGGGACATCCAACTTTCCTGGTTTATGTGGAGAGGAGCTGATTGCAGTTTATCACACTCATCACCTGACACAGATTCTAAGACACTAAGAAGGGCTGGGACTCCGAAGGTGGGAGAGCCAGCCCGCTCACCCTCCGGCTTGTGCTGTTTCAGAAGGAGCTGCTGATGTGTCCTTATCCATTCAAAGGATCTGCAAGTGTGACTTGGTCAAGGTGGCAAATCAGACAGAAGACAGTGTCCCCGAAGGATTCAAGGCCACACCTCTAGGGATCTGCAGAGACCCTGGTACCATGAATCTGCCTCACGTAGTTCAGGAAGCACAAATCCAAGGCCAGAGCAAAGGGTCTGGATCCTAGTTCTAGCTTCACCTCCCACTTGGACCCTTTAGCTTGGTTCATGTGGGCCCTTAAACTTGATCTCTTCCCATCTCTGCGTGATTGCACAGGTGAAGACTCCTCTTCTTGGTGTCTCTATGGCCCCTCCTCCTCCTGCTTCTGCAAATGAGTGTCACCCTTCTTGTTCATATCTGTCACTAGCAGAGGAACAGCCATAATGGCCACAAGCCATGAATAGCATCTGGCATGTGGAAGGTGCTCATTGCTGAGTGAATGAGTAAGACACCTCACTACAATGGCTGTGAAGCACATTGCCGGAAATGTCCCCAGAGAGGAAGGCACTGAGGCCCCAGACCATTCTTTTTTTTTTTTTAAATATATTTTATTGATTTTACACAGAGAGAAATTGAGAGGGATAGAGAGTTAGAAACGTTGATGAGAGAGATACATTGACCACTGCCTCTTGCACACCACCCACTGGGGATGTGCCCGCAACCAAGGTACATGCCCTTGACAGGAATCGAACCCGGAACCTTTCAGTTCGCAGGCCGATGCTCTATCCACTGAGCCAAACCGGTTTCACAGCCCCCCCCCTCCCCCAGACCATTCTAAGAGCTATGTGAGAATTACAAAATGCAACTCCTCCTGTTTTGGGTTATTCTGAGCACTCAATATCACAGATATCGGTATCAGTAATCTCTTGCCACACAACGTGTTACTTCCATACTTAGTAGCTTAGAACAATATTGCCTCACAGTTTCTGTGGGTCAGGAACTGGGCAATGGCTTAACCGGGTGCTCTGGCTCATGATTTCTCAGGAGGCGGCAGTCAAATGCCAACTAGGGCTACAGTCATCCGATGGTTTGACTGGGGCTGTGGGATCGGCTCATTCACACGGTGACAAACTATTGACAAGAGACCCCACTCTGTTCCTTGCCTTGTGGGCCTCTCCTTAAACCTGCTCAGGACATGGCAGCCCGCTTTCTCCAGGATGGGAGTCGAGAGAGTGCGAGGAGGTTTTACAACGTCTCTTACAACTAGCTTAGCTTCTTAGGGAAGCCGTAACAACGTGCCACCAACAGGGTGGCTCAGAAGAACATATATTTACTCCTCCACTGCTTTGGAGGCCAGAGGGTGACATCAGGTGTGAGCAGGGCCACGCTCTCTCCATAGGGTGGAGGGAGGAAAGCTTTCTTGCCTGTCCCCATTTCTAGTGGCCACAGATGCTCCTAGGCTTGTGGCCGCCTAACTCCAAACTCTGGGTCCATCATCACCTTGTCTGTGTGCATCTGTTCTGTGTCCCCCTCTCCGTATTAAGGACACCAGTCATTGGATGTAGGACCTGCCCTAAATCAACATGACCTTTGATTACCTCTGCACAGACTTTATTCCCAAACAGGTCACATTCACAAATACGGGGCGTCTGGAACTTCAACACATCTTCTTGCAGCACACTGTGGAACTCACAGCAGGGACCTACCCTCAGACGTCGCAGACTATCTTTTCTGCAGTAGCAAGTGTTTATTTTACAAGGATCAGCCCTGTTCAGGGTGGGAGGAGACGCCACCACGGTGTGAATATCAGTAGGTGAGAGGCCTCATATGCAGTATTGACAAAGGAAGCGATGAAGAAAGAACCTGTTGTACAGCAGTTGGGCCCTTCGACCTATCAAGCATATAGAAAGGGTCAGAGTGTGGAGGACGGGAGGGTTTGGAAAGAGAAAACGCTTCTGAGCGAGTAAAGCTATGCTGTGAGCTCCATCTCCAGTAGGATTGGAGGCCCTACCACCTCCATCTCAAGCCTTGTGATCTGGGCTTCTGCGAAGCCATTTAGAGCTGTGGGCCCCCACACCTGTGTGCACTGGGATTGGGGCAGGAGCCATGTGAGTGCCTCCTATGGCCCAGATGCAGTCCCCGGAGCAGAGAGGTCCAGAATGGGGTTAAGTCCTGTAGCGCCTCCTGGAGGGGCACAGGGAGCTCAGCAGGAAGAAGTTGGAAGGGGATGCTGGATTCCTAGGGGGCGAAGAGGGAATCAAACGTTATTTCCTGGAAAGGAGACGCAGACCGGGAACCTCAGGAGAACCCAGGAGATGCCCCTGAAAACAGTGCTCACCATCTGCCAGGCCCAGAGAGCTGGCAACTGAGCAGTCAAAGAAAAATTACCACGCCCCGGCTGGGGTGGCTCAGTGGTTGAGTGTTGACCTATGAACCAGGAGTCACAGCTTGATTCCTGGTCTGGGGCACATGCCCTGGTTATAGGCTCAATCCCCAGAAGGGGATGAGCAGGAGGCAGCCAATGATGATTCTCTCTCATCATTGATGTTTATATCTCTCCCTCTCCCTTCCTCTCTCTGAAATCAATAAAAATATAATTTTTTTTTTTTATTACAAAAGAAGAATTGCCCTGATTGGGGTGGGGGCAGTGAGGTGAGAAAACAGATAAAATCCTACCTTACCATAGCCCAGTCTCCGAAGGCCCACACCCCAACCACAGACCTTGAAGGACAGGAGGAAGAAGATTCATCTTTGAAGGAACAGGAGTAGCCTTTCATATCTATGACTGGGTGCCTTCCACCTCTAAGTTGAAGGTAGGTTTTGTGACGACCAACCCAAAGTCTAACCGGAAGAGGCGTGGGGTGGGCCGGGCTTCCCGCAGGGAAGGGAAAATGCCTCCCTTGCTGAATGGTCCAAATGAACAATGAGAGGCAAAAACCAAGCTGCCTTTTGATTACATCCACATTCAGCAGATTGGTTTCACTGAGCTCAAGCTTTCTCAAGGGAAGTTGGGCCTTATATTCCCTACTCCACCCCCCCACCCCCCCATTTCCGTCTCAGCTTTTGTTCAGAATTGAAAAAATGTTTACTATTTTTTCCTTTCTAATTTCTGGAAATAACACCAAGAACAACCGCAATTACCAAAAGAACTCCTTGTACCCAAGCAAAGCACTCACACCCTCCGAACTCCTCACCCTGCCTCGGCCTGAATCCACCCCGAGGGGAAGCGAGCATGAGGTCAGCGGGTTGCCCGTTGCTGGAGGAGAGGTTCCTGGGAGGACACGGCGCCTGGGAACACCGGCTGTTTTTCCGAGATCTCTGGGCTCAGTCAAGTCCGAGGGGGAGAGGCTGGGGCAAGGCCAGGACAGAGGAAGCAGAGTTCTACTAAATTTTTTTTTTTTTTAATTCCCCAGGGATGTTGGAGCTGTAGTCTGATCTGTCCTCCAAGTACCTTATTTGTTACTACTGAGGGGGGGAAAAAAAAAAAAAAAAAGGCTGCCTCTGAGTCTCTCCTCTCTCACTGCCCTTGGCCAAGCTTGGGGCTAGCTGTGCTTCGTTTTAGGA